TAAAGAGCAAGTCTATCATTGTTTCGGCATCTTCTGTTTTTCTTGTGTATAAGTCTATTTTTATGACATGGAAAAGATTGAAATAACTCTAGTAGCTGTTTGCTGTTGGTTGTGGTTTTAAAAAGATTTATATTGAAATCTCCAATAGATACAGTGTTCTCTTACATTTTGGATCGCCTGGCTGATGTCGTGTATGCTGGAACGTCATATATATAGCCGTATTTTTTTACAAGGATTTAAAATTTAGATATTTGCAATTTTCTAATAGTTTGATTTTTTGATAAATTAAAATTTTGGTGATTTACCTGCATATGTACTACGGCATTCAATCCCGAAGCATTTTAGCAATTAGCGGGATTTCGGGTTGCGAATAATTCTTATCCCAGGATCCCGTGATTTATCGGGATTTGGACTGTATCACCATTTTTGGATCTTGCACCCTTCTCAGCAATCAAAAAATGAAAGCACACAGATTTACTGTCGCCACATTTGATCTTATGCGGAGCATAATATTAGAAAACACTTTTTTATGTTTTTTTTTTCTTTCATGGTGGTCGGAAACTGTTCTCGAACCCAAACCTGCGGAATGGTAGGTGCGCACTGTTAACCGCTATATCTATAATATTTGTAAAAAAAATTCAGTTACCTCAAAACCACGCCAACAAAGTCAAATGAAGAACAACTCTGCCACAACACTATAAAAATTAAATTTCTAATGAAAACATAAAGGCGCTGGCCCAATGCAGGCTTGCTTTGCTTGCTTAGCTTTGAAAACTGTAAAAAGTTATTTGGAATATACTAAAACATATGAAGGGTGGCCAAATGGTAGCTTTGCTTCACTTGCTTTAAGCGCCTCAAAGTTTCAAATAGGCAAATGTTTTATTTGAAAGCATTTCGTAGGATTTTGACAAAAAGATATGTTCCCGTTCTAAATCAATTCAAACAAACTGCTGCAGACTTTTATGTACAAAAAATGTCTTACGTAATTTAAAAAAATATATGTATAATATTAGTAACTCAAAGTTTAATAAAAAGTAATCTATGTTTCCATATTTATATTTAACATGTCGCTGGCTTAAAGTAAAAAGTTCTAAGTCCAATTTTACAAATTTTACAGGAACTTTGAATACAACATTTTGCGTGTTTAAAGCAAAGCAAACCTCCATACAAATCAGAAGGGTTCGATTTCTGTTAAAAAATGTCATATTATTTTGGCCTTATTGCATATTCGGGGCCTCTTTTGGACTTATAAAATTTATCTTTCATTGAATATAAACGAGAAAAAATAAAACAAGTACCTTAGTCCTTAATTTCTCTTACTTTCTATGTCAAAATTTGAGGCTTCATAAAATGCAGACTTATCAACTATCACACAAAGCTAGCGATATTTATGATGTCAAACTACTGGTAAGTCGTCTCTTGAAAAATCGATTTTTTTTGAGTTTTTTGATTCTAATAAATGTACATATAGTTATATATGTATGTATAATTATTATCATTCCTTTGAAATGCAAAAACTAATTCACATTCATTAAAAAATAAATCTGAAAAGATTGTTTTGTATACCTTTTTTTTAATTTTCTGGAATTTGATGGCAAAATTATTCTTAGTGTGACTTTTCAACTACACAGCTGGTTGCTTTGATAGCGTTCCAAGCCGCCATTTGGCCAAACGAGTTTTTGAAGTAAATCAAAGCAAATTAAAGTAAGCAAGGCGTGCAAAGCAGGGTTGTTGCGAATATTCGCATTCGAATTCGCAACTGCGGAACTTCCGCATTAATTTTAATATTCGCTTCCGCTTTCGCATTCGCAAAAATCAATGCGGATCTTTTGCGAATGCGAATATTTTGCAAGTGCACTGAGTATATCTGGCAAACAAAATGAAAAATTTTACCCAATTTTTTTTTCCTGTGGAGATGCGGTTGCGGATGCGGATGTGGTTGTGTAACCCTGGCGCCATCTACATCTCGTAAACAACCACATTTCTTTTGGTTTTGTGATAATTGTCAAAATTGGCATGTAGAGAAGTAAAGCTAAAACGGAATGTGATCAACTTGACAGCCAAGTTCACGAATTAAATAAAATCAATTCAAGGCCAATTTGAGATCTAATGAGGAGTGGGAATTAATATGCAATATTTGTTGAAAATTCGCGTTCATCAGCCTCAAAGAATGAAATGACATTGACCGCGTGGAATGGAACAGAATGGATTTGATAGCTTATGGCACTGACCTGGTGAGTAATTAATTGTGACTGCCTGCAACTTGGAAAAGTCCACCTCAGCAAATGAGAAAACTAATTACAGGTTATTCATTGCAGCTGAAGTATACAGCGCTTAAACTGGCAAAATATAGTGACACTTCCATCACAGGGCGAAGATATTGCGGCACACTCACGTGGTTGGCAAATTGTATGAAACGGTTTTAGCTGTTAATAGCCGTCATCGATTCGCCAACAGTTAGCAAGTGGCGAAACGAACGAACTCAATGAGGTACAACTAAACTGGCTATCGGTTATCCGTGCTAGCTAACTTTGTTGTTGCTTTCACATGCAAAATTTTTCTTTAAGCGACCGGAACTCAAACACAGCAAGCAGCGAAGTGGCAAATCGATGACGGCTAATGATTGGTTAGTTAAACCTTTGATCGTTTTTGGAAATAATAAAATAAAATTAGCTGATCAGGTACCACCACGGTTTTTTTTTTTCACTGATTTAAAAAATTACATTTGCGTTTGGTTGTTTGCCTTGTTTTACCTATTCGACAAGTCAACCTAAAATGCCACGACTGACGCAAAGTGGAGTTTGGTCTTATTTTAAATTAGATGAGCATGATCGAGAGAAATCCAAGTGTAATATATGCAATAAAATATATTCTCGCAAGGGTCGTACAACCTCGTCTTTGAGGAATCATTTGAAATCAATGCACCCGGAGCTGTTTAGTCTGGTTGAATGCGATGATAACGAAATTCAGTTGCAGAAAAAAAAGATGAATCAGGTAAGTTTTAACATAATGAATTTATTATTCTCGAAAAAGACTAATTCGTGTAATCAGTTAGTTGTACACAGAACCCAGATTAAGTAGGCATACTATTTTTTTACCTAAATTGGAGGGAAGTCTATAAATTAAATTAAATTAGAAAGGAACTTCTATTCTGCGTTTATCGGTAGGAGTAGCACAAACTCTTTAACTTTACGGCCCCAATCCAAATAGATTTTTGTTACATGTTTTTGTTATTTTGACACTAGTCTCAACTGTTTTCGTATGATATGTGTATTTAATTCAATTCTAAGTATAGCTTAGGTCATTTTATTTATTATTTATCAACATGATGAATATGCCTTGCATAAAGTTTATTTACTGTGTATACATATGTATGTATTGCTTTTTCAGATAAAAATGACACTCCGTTGCAAAAAGCTAAAACACAGCTATCTTTGGAAGAAGCATTTCAAAAAGAAAAAAAGTGGGACACTAACAATCCGAATTCGAAAAAAATTGACAAACTCATTGGAGAAATGATTGCACTACTTACCATTTTATTTTGTGGAGGGTGTAGGATTTAGGAGATTAATACAAGAAATAGCGCCAAAATATAACTTAACATTCCACGATCGCTCAGAAAAAAACTGCAAAAAATTCAGGACCGACTGAATCAACCGCATCTCAAAGTGTTCCAAGACTGCAACACGCGATGGAACAGTTCCTTGTATATGTTCGAGCGATTTTTAAAGATAAAAGATGAGTTGAGTCTTTACATGACCGACAGTGACATAGTCCCAATTTTGCCAGAGGAGTGGAAGATTATGGAACCTTGTGTTGAGCTATTAAAACCTTTTGAAGAAGCCATACAGGAACTAAGCAGCTCTGAGACCCTCATATCATCCGTGATTCCAATAATTCAAATGCTTATAAAAAAAACTGGGAGACTTTTTAGCCAAATCACAATATTCTGATCCGATTCGGCTGGCATCTACGACTTTGAAAACAGAATTTTGTTCGAAATTTTTTTATCCCTGGAAAATGATAATTTATTTGCCATATGCACCTATTTAGACTCGCGCTATAAGCACAAATTTTTCAAACCAGTCACAGAAGAAAAAATTAAAAATGAATCACAAAGTCTAAAGTCGAAAGACACTGATGAACCTGTTATTTCCCCGAATTATGAAACAGCCAAAAGAATGAGAACGAGAAATTCTTTGGAAAAAGATTTAGAAAACGATCTTGCTTGAAAGCGATCTTGCCATTATGCTAGCCTCTTCAAATGAAGATGAAAATCAGGAGGATTCACCCGACATTAGCAATTCCGATGCAATTCTCAAAAAGGAAGTATCCTTGTACCGCAATAAAAAAAGAATAAATATTACTGAAAGTCCTCTGAAATAGTGGAGTGTCCATCGAAACGAGTTTAAAATATTGTCAAGTTCCGCCTCCACCAGCAAGTGTTCCGAGCGAGCAGTTATTTAGTAGCGCAGGTTTAATTTACGACCCTTTAAGAAACAGACTGGAACCTGAAAAGGCAGCAGCATTACTTTTTATTAAATATAATGCTTCTATTTTTAATTTCAAGTACTAAATAAAATAAACATTAAAAATCACTAACTTTTCCGTTTTTTTCATTTACTTAAATTACCTAATTTACTTTCATAAATTATTTCTTAGGAATACTAGACATCCGCATTCGCATCCGCGGATGTTAGCTCTTAGACATCCGCATCCGCATTCGCATCCGCGGATGTCTGAAATTCCACATTCACAACATCCCTGGTGCAAAGCAAGCCTGCATTGGGCCAGCGCCTTTATCTTATTACAGGCCTTGACATGCTAGTGCAAGTTGATCCTACACGCAATCGCTTTCAAATTTTTTGGAACGGGGCCTCTCTGTAAATACTTACTAAAAACTTTGTATATATACTTATTTACATATAAACATGGATATACCTTCTTGTTTTTATGCAATTGAGGGATATTTTATCTTTAATAATCTATTCAAGAATGAATTATAAGTGTATCGAGAAAATATATTTATTGAGTTTCATCGTAGTTTGACAAATATTCACCTTCTTAGCTCATATGTAAAACGAGAAATAAGAATTTTGCTTATGAGTTTAGAACTTTCAGCATTTCGCAGAAAGCAGGTTTCTTTCAAAAGTTTTGGTTTCTCTTTACTAGAAGCAACGGCATCGGATTGGCAGGTAGTGCAATGCTCCCCTTGGGTACATCAATAGTAGTATTATTTTCGTATTTGATGTCGTACTGCCTTAATATATTAGCTACTAGAATAAATCCAAAGCCTCGCACCAAATTTTGTCCAATGCATGTTCGTTTTCCAATACTGAACGGCAGGAAAAATGATATGTTTTTTTTTAACTGCGGGGGGTAATTTTTTGCTTCGGTCCCCATTGAACCTTTTGGGTTATCAACAAAGATTGCTCCGGTTCCATAGTCTGCTGTGCTAGGTTTATTCCCTGGTTGTCTCAATACTCTTTGCTCCAAAAACCTTTCCGGTTGGAAACAGTGAGGTTGTTTCCAGTATAACTTACTGTAATTTGACTTGTAATTGTTTATAAAAACAATAGTCCCTTTCGCGATCCCATAACCAGATATGACGACATCTTCAGTTGCCACATGTGGAACTATGGGTGAGGATGAGCATCTCAAAACCTCGAATATAGTTGCTATAGTATAAGGCATAGCATCGATATCATAAAAACTTATTGTGTGTTGTTCCTTGGGAGAAATTAAATCTCCTTCTAATTGAATTTTTTTCGCTACAATGGGATTTTTTGCCAAATACATAAGAGTCAGCATTACTAGGTTTCCTACAGCCGAATGTCCTCCAATAAAGTCCTCTAACATAAATAGTATTGTATCTCTTGCCACATCCTTGTCATCAGAGAGATGTTTAAGCAAAGCTTCTGTGAAGTCGTCCTCTGGTTGGTTCTTAAATAGTTCTCTTCGTTTTATGACGCGGTTCATAATAAAACATCGTATGGTAGAAGACCAGTGAACTATCTTTTTTATGTAATATTTGTAGAATGGTGCTAGCCAAGGCAGAAAGTCTAACACATACCCTTGGTTTATTTCCCAAAAGATTTTGTCGAAAAACTCGACGATTTCACAAAATTCCAGATCATTGTGCTCAAAACGTAAAGAACACATGTAACTAAAAAACATGTTTGCACAGGCACGTTGAATAAAAGGCTTAATTGAAATGAGTTTACTGCCATTAATTTCCTCGTTTAGTAGTTTCAACAATATTGCAGTTTCCAAACATCCGACATTTGACATCTTCGTAAAATGAGGAGATGAACTCCGCGGAGAGCAGTGCTTTCTTGCAAGGTTACGTCGTCTCTTCTGCAATGATGACCAGTCACAAAGAGCCAGAGCTGAAAATTTAAATACAAAAATTTAATAGTTAATTCCTTCACTGAATTCTGATCTTTCACATATTATACTTATGGGCATAAATAAATGAAGCATAATATCTAATTATAAAGTTATTTATTAAACAAATACGCGTGATAAATTACACTGTAGGTAAATTTAAAGGTTTTGAAATATCACAGCTAAACGGCCAAACATGTAAACTTAATTTTGGCCTCAAGATTACGATGGCGTTTTCAGAAAATCCGTATCACGTCAAAATTTTGAGATATTTAGGGGGAAGTTTTAGAGTTCTGAAGGTGAATTTTTCGTCGTTTAAAACACTGTGCTCAGTGTTTGAAATTTTTCTGGGCAAAGGTTTTGATAACTGATCTTACTTAACTGGGATCTTTTAAATTCAATGGCGTCCTCCGTTCTTCCAGATTGGCTCTAGTTTTTGAGATAACGGTTCTTGAAAATCTGCTTAAATTTTAGGTTTTTTGTTAATAATTACCTCAGTTTTAAGGCTATTTTACTAAAATTTTGCACGTGACTGTATTTTGATATTACCTTAGCATTTCTGAAAATCATGGAAATCGGTTCACTATAACATATAGCTCCCATACAACTGATTGTTCAGATATGTGGTTTTGCGTTACAACTCATAATTTATTTCGTAATATTTTTTTATAATATTATTATTATAATATTATTATGGGTTCTCTTCAATCCCATTTTTGCATATTTTGCTAGTTTCTAATGCTCGAATGATTTTTTTAATATCCTTTGCCTCCTGCGATCGACCAGCCAAAGTCCGCCAACATTGAATTCAATCGTTTTCCAGCGAATCGGTCCTCAAAACACATAATGGATTGGTGAAATCTCTCTGCTACCTCGTCGGTTTCTGTTGAAAGCTGTTGCTCGTAAAAGTCAAAGTGACTGTGTAGCATGTGGATTTCAAGCGACATGTGCACATCAAAGGCGTCAAAAGATTCCATCAAGTTCGCAATAAAAATGGCATATTCTGGTGAACGAATGAAAGCCCGAACTGCATCCCATGCAACGGCTGCAAAATTTTGACGTGATACGGATTTTCTGAAAACGCCATCGTAATCTAGAGGCCAAAATTAAGTTTACGTATTTGGCCGTTTAGCTGTGATATTTTTGCCTCCCTACTGTGTTATTACTCGAAACCACGAATCAATTTACAAGTTTACAAGTATGGAAAGTTGGATTTTGTTTGCTTATATTTGGCTACAGCTTAGGTTACTTGCTTCCTAATTCTCTGCACATTGAATTCCATATTCTGAAAATAACTTTGGAAAGCAATGTTAGAAAAACAATCATATAAAAACAACTCTACCACGTTTCTATAAATGGACTTAAATGCATGATTCAATAATTAAAGGTTTACTCACTAGTGACATTAGAGTTCTGACACTCCCTTACAAAAGCTTTGTACACACACACACAACTTGTCTTGCTAAGGGAGCCGATTTTGTCAAGAGGGAGCGAGAAACCTGTTTTCTGAGCAATCGTTTTATTATTGAATCATGACTAAAATGTAGAAAGAAATTTTTCATATACTCAGAATTTTTCTTTATACGTTCTTATTTTTAAATTTTAACAACAGCCATTGGGTAGGTTCTGAAGGCGCAGCTGTTGAACGCAACCGTTGCTAAAAAAAACAGTGGTCGTAATGCGTCTTCTGGGCGGCTTGATACATTCGCTGTTAAATTCAATTGTTAAAGGTACACAAAACATGTTGTATTAAAATAGGGATGCACAGCATGGGTGCTCGCAGTCGACGTCGTTTTCAAGTAAAAATGCGCATATGTATGTGTACTTTTGCGACTACCCTGCAGTACGGGGGAGTGACTACAGGACTGCTGAATCGGTAGCTACTTAATAAACACCGTCAAAAACCGACCGACTACTTGAGTGTATTTCATCGATTACTTTTACAAGGCAATGTCCTAGGCGGTAGACACCATCGGCTCTCTCTGCACTACCGGGAGTTACTAAAGTAGTCACTTTCGTGATTTATGGGCGGCCTCTGTCGTAGTTTTCTGTTCTGCTTACGACTGGTTCGATTCTGCACTACCATGTGCACTACCACGGGTTAATAGAGTAGCTACTTACGTAGGAGTCGGTGCAGTAACGATTCAAAAGTAGCGATTCACTCCAGCAGTATTAGAGGGAACTGAGCCAGTGTGGCATCAGGGCACCAGAAGGAGCCCATTTTTCTAAAACAAAAGCGCCATGTTTTTATTATCATGTTTAATAATTTTATTAATTCAGTAAAAAGGGTACATACCTATCGTCACCTGAAATGCAAAATAACGTAACAACATCGTCACTGAAATGCAAAAAGTTGTAACTTATAAAAAATTCAAAATTCACTTTTTGATTGCTATGATGGATTTCATCGAATTACAACTCCCTACATCGTTTTATGAAAGAAAAATTGGTCGCGACTTTTTCCATTTCAGTGACGATGTTGTTACGTTATTTTGCATTTCAGGTGACGATATGTGTTTACACACGGTTTTACTAATAAAATTATTTAAATACATTTATAACAACGCAAAACATATTTAACCCTCTAGTAGGCAGAACCGCCTCCAGACGGTCGTTAAATAAACAGTTTTTTAGTGCACCTATAATAATTTTTTTCTATATTCGTAAGGCACGATCTTTAGACAAAAATCGTACCCTTACGGCGAAGTAAATTTTAATCCGTTATGTCAATCCGTTTTATTTTAATCGGCAGTTGAATTACAGATTTTGAAAACACGGTTAAAATTAATTATTTCTTGCTTTTTAATAATTTCGTAATTAAAGAAATTTTTTCTTTTGAAAATTTTTTTAATACAAAAAAATTCAAGGGGTTTCGTAGTTAAAAGCACAGTATTGTGATATAAGTTTTATAATTGTGTGACTATCCGAAATGGAGAAAATTGCTTTCGAACACAGACCGTCTACAGACCGGCTTGCCGACATATAAAAACCCAGTTTGCATTTTTGGCCGTTGTCGGTTGGTAGTCAACATTGTGTAAAAGAAAGCTGAAAATATGTGTAAGTATATCGGCGAGTCCGTCTCCAGACGGTCTTGGTTTTTCTCCCCTGTAGGAAAAAGTTACTGTTACAGATCGAAATGGACATCAGTTTTGGATTTCTCGTGCTAAAATCACCCATTCCTGAATTTTTCAACTCATAAAAAAATTGGCCTACTAGAGGGCTAAATTCTTTCAATGTTCAATGAATCGGAGCATAGGAAGCATAAACCGTCGGACTCGCTTTAGAAAGAATAAATCATTACTTCGCAATTTTCTTTGTGAAATATAAAAATAAATGCGCTCTAAATGGACAGTCGATTTCTCCACTGATAACATAAAAAATAAAGCAGAGTGAAAGAACACTCCTTCTAATTTGTAAAGACTTCATGTTTATTAAAGCACATCTGGCATCACACGAAGAATCGGATCAATAAAGTTAAGCGATCTGAGAGCAAAACGAAGAAAATTCTTTTGAATTCGTTCAAGTCTATTAATGTGACAAAGGTGATATGGTTTCCAAATAAAGACAGAATATTCTAACTTAGATTTTACAAGCGAAGTAAATAGTAACTTTAGAGTGTAAAGATCAGTAAAGTCTGCACCGAAGCGCCCAATAAAGGCAAGTGTAGAATATGACTTAGAATTTATAAAATTTAAATGACTCAGAAATGAAATCAGAATCAAAAATTACATCCAGATCAGAAACTTCATCCAAAGTGGTGAGACGTGATTACTTAATTAAGTATGAAGTAGCAAATAACTGCCTACACTTAGAAAACGTTACGTGAGAACACTTCCTTATATTTAGATGCAGGTAATTTTTATCACACCATGCCACGACGTTATTGGGATGTGACTGCAGCTTAGATGAATCAGATCGACTTGAAATTGTTTTAAAATTTTTTAAATCTTCTGCATATAAAATAAATTCAGAAAATTGAAAACAATCAGATATATCATTAACAAAAATGATGAAGAGTAATGGACCCAGAATACTGCGCTGAGGGACACCAGAAGAGGCAACAAAAGGATGGGAAGAAACATTATCAATAACAACTACACACTTACGACATGAAAGGTACGACTTTACCCTTTAAAAAAAATGGAGTGAAACCCAAAACTGCGCAATTTAGAGATTAAAATTTAATGGTTGACTTTGTCAAAAGCCTTGGAAAAGTCAGTATAGATTGTATCGACTTGGAATCTGTCATTTATTAGCAACATCTCTTTTATTGGCAGCCTTGAATAAAGGTGTGATGGACGTAACTTTCCGAGCATCAATAAACTCCCCCGATTCTATAGATTTTTTGAAAATTAGCGAAAGAGGATATGTAAGGGCAGGACAATTCTTGAAGAGATAGGATGAGAAACCAGCAATATCCGCATGCGAAGAGCCTTTTAAGACCCTGAATTATATCCCGAACATCCTCAATAGATAGCGAAAAAGGGCCAAAGTTAATAGTGGAATTGGTTTTCCAAAAGTTATCACTCAAATGTTCCGACGATGGATCAAAATTAGAACTAAAAAAGTCCGCGAAAAGACCAGCTGCCTCCTGGGTGGAGGAAGCATAACTCCCATTATAAAATACCTCGGAGGGAATATTAGAGCAGGACTTTTTGGCCTTAACGTAATGCCAGAAAGCTTTGGGATTAGACTTAATATCAGAATTTACGAATATTATTCCGCTGGAGATTTTTACTTAAATGTTTAAACTTCTTGGAGTAGCACAAATATTTATCAATATACGCTTGGGCAGTTGTTAATTTAAATTTTCTTAAAAAATTATTCCTCAAATTATTCAGCCTTTTTAATTTTCTCGTATACTAAGGAATCCTATAGCACTTTTTGCTAACACGTGGTACGTTTTCGCAGAAGATTTCATACATCTTTATTTTAAATGTATCCAAGTATGAAGAAATATTAATTCCAACAAAAAGGGAATCCCAATCTAATAAAGAAATTT